AATAATCCTGTCGGAAACTCAGTCTGCACTATTTTTAGGTCATATTTTTTAAGCAGTCAAAAGCTTGCACACACCCGGAAACGCAAGAGCGCACAAGGCTCATAAATCATCTAGGCTCGTAATTTTTCTGAATTACCAGAGGTACGTCATACGCTCTTCGCACTCGTTATTGGCAGATTCCCACTGCGGATTTTCCCTCCAGTTGAAAAAAGAATACATTTTATATTTCATTCAGAAAGTGTGCCGTGAAAAAAAAAATGCTATTCACTGCTAACAGACACTATTTCTCTTAAAAAATAAATTCCATTCTATTCATGAATATTATATTTATTCAATTCCTCTTCCGTTATCATAGCTATTTTATATATTGTTACTCATTACTTGCACGTCGATCAAAACTTGTAAAGTACATCAATCAATCTAAATACTAGGGGGTGCTAGGTCTAAAATTGGATTAATTCCGGAATGACTCAATTCCTATTAATTGTCGTTTACTCGCCCTCGTACAAGTGCCCAAGACATGGCAGTACAGGAGTTTAAGCTCCTGCTGACAGGACAATTAATTTGGACAAAGGCCACGTGTCCAGCTTATCAACCTTCCTTTAACCTCAACATCTCCAATTATTTTAGTATCTATCATACGAGTGAGTACGCAAAGTCCCATAATTCTCGTATGTTATGGGTGATGATAAACCGATATTTACATTGAAATTCAATCATCAAACTGGCCAGGATGGCCAAATGATCTGGAAATTCGCTTACCCACTCGCATCAGCAGATCCTGCATCCAAATCCTCAAACTTCACTCATGAATATTCACGTTCAACATAAATAGACATAAGCCGAAATCCCAACGAGAATATTAGTGTCTCAGCAGTGAACATGTTCAGGTGAAAGCATGACTAATTATCCCCTTGATGTTGAGTAGCTCTCATTTCAGTTCTAGCCAGCCGAACCGAGAAGCACTTGTTTGTCAATATCTGTTTATGTATTTTTTATGACTTTCTCTTTGAATACTTTGGATGGCCGACGGTTCCATGAAAAAAATGCTCTCACATTAATTGTTTGATCATGTTGGGGAGTGTTGCAGGTGTGGCTCCAACTGCGACATTGTCTCATCATCATGAGAAAACTTATGGACACTTATGTCAATCCCCAGGACATTGAGGAGCTGATGACGTCCTAAGTACCCGACTGGGGATATATTAATGCTGTAAAAATAAATATGAAGGAACTCCAGAGGAAGTCATTTGAAATTATGAGCCTTTCGCTGTGCATAAGTTAATTGGAGTGACAATTAGATAAATTCTGTACTTTCATTATGGATATCTGTACGTAATCCTGCAGTGGGCGGATTATGCGATCAATATCAGAAATGTTAATAAATTAAAAGTGGAAACAAAAAGAAGGAAATGCAGGGAGCGTTGTTCAAGTATAAAATTTGCGTGGTGTTCGGGTTGCAATTTGCTAAATAATAGTTAATGAATAAGTTTGATTGTGAGGGACAGAATTTATTTATAGAAATTATGAGTTTTTCTGGGTTTTTTCAATTTAGTTGGTTGATATTAGAGGCGATGATCGAAAAAGGGAGGCTGGGAAATGTAACGAATCGATTTTCTTGGCGGTTGATACGCGTCTCGGGGGAATCCCCTTCTTCTTCAGATGCACTGTCAGCGCAAAATTAAAATTTACTGGCAGAATAGAATTGAAATTTCGCAGACAGCTGACTAGAAATTTTCGTGGGAATAGCATTGAATTCGGGGAATAAAAGTTTTGAGTTTCAATGAAAAGGGTCTAGCCGAACAAGCATTCGGGGTTTCCCCATTTCACTTGAATTCCACTTGAATCGCTATGAAATTCACTAAACTGTGAGTAAAGTAAAATTGTCCTTGATGTCAGTTGAGTGTCCCGAGTTTATTTGAATTCTGATTGAATTTCACTGAGAAAAACATGGAAATCAATCGACATACGAATTTGTCGAATTCACTGCGAATTAAGAGAGTCAATAATATTATTCTGTAATTTTACGTATTTTTTCCTGAGGAATTACGTAATCTATACGTTCAAAATTATATGCGGTATGTAGGAGAATGTCCAAATATTGAATTCACCATAATTTCCACTCAATTTCCCCTGAATCCCGTTGAGAGTCATAATTAACATATTTTGTTTCATGACTCTGACATGGCACATTTCCAATACTCATCAGGAATACACGACAAGTTTAATGAAAGTACAAAACTAATGAAACATTCTGGCCAGTCTTAACGGAGTATAGGGCAAAGTTTTCTGCATCATTAACGCCACTGCATGTACCAAAGAGAATTTCATAAACAACGAACAGTTTTAAAATTCCCTTTCTCAACTTTTAATGGGTCGAAACATTCCTCTCCATTCTCTTTGCCGCTCTTGACACATCAATAATGGAAAAAACATTTTATCCTGCTTTGTTGGGCAGCAATTGATGATATAGAATTGCAACTCTGAGAGCTCTACCCACTGAAAAGTTTATCTGGCTCCATGGACATCAGCAAACAGTTGCTCCTCTTCACTCCAATCTTTTACGAAACTGCAACACGAGTCTCAAAAACTCTCAAGAACTCTCAATCTGTCAGTCCTAGAGTCAACAACAACTACTCTGTCTTGAAATTATTTTCAATTTCCAATTGTTTGCATGAATTAACGAAGAAACGACGTAATTTCCACTGGAATTCCTTAAAAAATCTCGAGAATATTCCCATAAAATTCAATCTGACTTGACAAACAACATAAATAATGACAATTTGAAACGAAAAAAGGAAATGGCCATTAGTCATCTTGTGGTATATATGTGTGATACAAAGTTCCATCCTCAAAGGATGAGTGATTTCGATGTAATGTGTGGGAAGAAGTTGACTGTTATAAATAACCTGGGGATTTAGGGGTCTGGCAGGAACAGACGACAGGGAAAATTGGGGGGTTGAAATACGGAAGGTGTTGCGGTCATTACCGGTGCTATTAGGTGAACTCTGCAATCGGAAATACCGGCGAAGGCAATTCTAATCTGTCGATAAAAGGACAAGATGTACGCTGAAAAATAACGAGTGTGGCGTTACGATTTAATCCACTTAAAAATAAGCTCTACTTCAGACTGAAGTGGTGTGAATTCCCGGGCAAAACGAAAAAATCGGATAAATCGGGGGATTACAGTGGTACTTTCCTTCTTCAATCGGGGAGTAATTGATGGGGGACGATCGAGGGATTTAGCGAGGATCAAAATCGAAAATGAAATCTTTCATTTAGACTTCTCAAATGGAAATCCTCCATCCGTCGAAAATCCCCGAGAATATCGATATTATAGGATGATGAGGAATTATTAATCGGTGGTACTTCAAAAACAACTCCTCCCACTACCAGATTTTTCCGAGGATATCGATTTTTTTATCAATGATTTGACCTCCCGGAGATAAATCCATCCCACTCGACGTGGGAAGCTATATTCAATAAAAATAACGGAAAATTCTACAGAAATTCGGATAAAAATTCATTTCACCCTGAAATTACGGAAAAAATACGAAATTGTTATTGAATATTTTTCTCGGTGAAGGTAAATCAATCGATTTTCTTGGAATAATTCTGTAATGAATTTAAATCGGCGTATCAAATTCCTCTCAATTAGTTTGAAAAAAGTATTTATTGTCACTCATTTAGCTATTTGAAAATTCAATATTAATAATTACTTTATTTATGATTACGGACTTATCATCCACCCATCTCGGAGCTGATCTTATAAGAGGTACATGAGTTATTGACAACCCGTAAATGACGGATACGAAGGAGTGAATAGGATTACGATGGAATATATTCAGACATCGGAAAGAGCACGAAAAAATGAGAGAAAAATGTGGGCATAAATAAAACATGCGGATATATGAATGATCAATCGGATGTGATGGAGCGAACGAAATGGTGGATGCCATGTCTCACCACATCAGGAGACATTCTTTAAATAATAATCGCGTGCTAATAACATTAAATAAACATAAATAATGAAAAACAAATATGAATATAAATGATAGTTCACGAGTTTCTCTCCCAAAACCATTGAATTTGATGAATTATTTGATTAATGACCGATCCATCGATCACTCTGGGTGTCACCTAGAATTATACAATTACACTGTCATAATAATTACAACTGTAAAAGCCCGGTTGGCATGAGCCCCACAACCCCATGTATCCACCCCGACAAATTGCTTTACGACGCCATTTCTCATCCACGAAAACTCGACCTGGTTGCACCGAGAGACAACAGGAAAATGGAAAACGACTGCAAGAACACCCGCCCGAGAGTCTCTTCCGCCAAATGATGAGATAAAAAAAAATGCTATAAATAAATCTCCCGCTGTTTAAAAAGTTCATCAATTCAGGGATATTCCTATCCCCTGGCAAGTTGAACAGAAAAATATATTGAATGAAAAATTTATCACCTCCAGGGTGTGAAGGACCAGGATATCATAGGCGTCTTAGACGTTCCACGGGAGATGTATCACGTTTAATATTTTCTCATCTCCTGATGTCACTAAAAGACTGGGACGACAAAAGCGTCAGACTACAATCGACCCATATATTCTTCAACTTTACATTACTTTCTGCATTTTTTCATACCCTTTATACATTCATAATGCCCCCCCTGTATTATTTGCATGTTTAATGGAAAGTACAAAGCATTGAGAGGAGTAAAAAATTTCAAGTCTTGACGAAAGAATAAATTTTTACTTCAGACAATTCTTCACATCCTTCTTCATTACAGAATTTTAATTAATTATTTAATTACACCTATAAGGAGTTATTTAATAAATTAATTTCACTTATTGTATGAATTTGTTCAAAATAAAAATTGAATTATTATAGAATAAATGAATATATTCATTTTCAAAACAGATTATTTAGTTTTCAGTGAAAGAGACATCGACTCAATTAGCCGAATAATTAATTAATTGATGTATTTTTTATTCCAGTGACCAACGATTGACTCTGTCGTGGAATAATAATCTTTCAATTATGGTGAGTAATTTACATAACTCGGTATCCATTGACTTTATCAAATTCATCAATAGCAAGATTGACTTGGAGGAAAACGGAATATATGAATATTCATGGGATATTTCAGAATGCTCGGCTGAATTCTTAAACATTCCGTCGTTCACTGCAGAAACATCTGTTCGAGAAACCAAGAGCACGACGAGAGAAAATACAGGCGCCATGGCCAACCACGTGAGTGTAACATTATTTATTATCTCTCAAAACTTGGGAATAAATCGTGAGACGTCTGGTGCACCTACGAACCATTGAATATTCATTGTTTTGATAGGATCTTAATTGATGCAGCTCTTTCACGTTGTTTCTTGGTATTTCTAAATACCACTAGAATTTTCACGCACAACGTCATAATTAATGTTAAAAACTTTGCACAAAATTACCCCAATGATCTCTTTAAAATTTAATTAATCCCCAATGATTTATTATCATCACAATATAATGCGCAATTATCCCGAGATCTTGGAAATAATTTTCTTCTCTCAAAAATCATCTACAAATGTTTTTCCTCAATTTACTCGAATATATCAAATGCAGTTATCACGTCAGTTGTTCACCGAGTAAATCATCAAAAAATCTTGTCCATAAACAACTCAGCACTGAAGTTGCAAAACTATTGTCAACGTCTCCATTCTCTTCAACCATATGTGGAGATCCACTCGTTCACTGTCTTATCAAGACCATCCATCGATTTTCTCCGTACCTCACGTACCACAACCCTCCAAAACAGCACAACTTTCCAACGGAAATAAAAAAAAATATCCACTTCTGCATTGAATTCGCCCTAACATTCCTGTTTGCTCTTCCTGCCAGAGACAAGGGAAACGAAAATTGGGGGAAAATGCAGCCACAATTCCAATGATCCTCTGGCGATTGGCCATCTCAGTACTGACAGTTTAAAGCTGCTTGGCAAAATGACCTGTCACGTTGATAAAAAATCACATTCTCCCGCAGAAAAAGGAAAACACTGAGCTTATCAGGATGAGATAGTTATTTCGCTGAATATTGCGACACCTTTACTCCAAAGTTATCAAATCGCCGACTTCTGAATTCTTTTAATCTATTCCTTATCTTTTATCTTTGGTATTGACCCCTTATCTTCTGTGTCTCTAGTAATGATTGTTATTCTCCATTTTGTAGTGATTCTCCTCATATCCATGCCGACGTGCAATTAAAACTATGGGATTGAAGGACTTGAGATGTAAATCCCAGGAGAAACATCTCCACTTTATTTCCACCTCTGAATATTCTCATCTTGATAAATAAAAAATTCACCTCGACAGCGATAAACACAGGACACTGGTAATAGGAAAATGTCAATCTGATTTAACATTCTTACCAGGTAAATAAGAATTTTCAAGCAACTGGGAGGATGAGCTGGGGATATTCCATCAAGTCCATTAGCTTGAATTTGCTCAGCAAACGTGGTAGGATAAAAAGTGTCCGGAGGAATTGAAACACTCGACACTTATTTTTACAACTGCGGGTATTGAAGCGGATTCATTAGGGGTTAATTGATACCCTTCAATTGCGGGGAATTATTTTTTTTACTTCAATGTATGACCTTGTCACATCAGTTGAGCTAAGCCGGTGGGGGCGTGGGCATGACACCTGATGTTTGCTTCATCAACAAATTGAGTGTACAGAGGTGGTATTGCTGTGTGTATCTCTCATTATGATTATCCGAAGAATCAACGTCACCTGGGAATATTCTCTTTCACCTGGTGATGTTATTCAATTTCATCCCCAATTCGATGGAGAGGGAATAATTAATTTGCCACGTGGAAATTCATTAGTATGGATTTAATAATGGGAATTTGTTGTTTGTTGGAAAATTTTTTTCTTTTGGTGACAAGGTCAGATATTTCTCGGGGGATGATATATCTGGGTGCTAGAAATGGAAAACTCGAGCTTCTTTGATATGAACAAAAAGTTTTTGCATTGTGGACAGGTCGAGTTGGAGATGTCTCTGGATTTAGTGCCTGTGGGCGTTTAACTCGGGTGCATATCATATTTTCTCTTGAGACAGTTCTAGATAGATGGGGTCGATAAAACGGAAATGGCAAAATCAGAAGTGGCGACAGAGGTGTCACCGTTTGTGGGTCAACAACTTTCTGATTAATTATTTGTTTTGTTGTTTAAATGGAATTTCCAGTGGTGAAAAATTATGTCGCGTTCTAGTTTGAGTCTATCCCCTCGAAGACTCTAATTGATGAAAATTTAATTGTTCGCTGGAATTTTCTGGCGAATTTCTCGCAACAGTGTCTGGAGAATTATTGAATGACTGGGAAATTGGAGAATTCTTATCAGATTATTTGATTTTTTTATCATTAATTGGCGTTGTTGATGTGTAATGGATCTAGTAGAAGGGATTATGCATTCTTGTCTTTGTGTATGCAATTCCATTGCTTGAAATCCAGTTCGAGGGAAAACTGCAAACATTCGACCATAACTCGACAAGTCCCACAACGCGAATGCTTCCAGTAAATAAGATTATTGACATGGAGGAAGAGACATTCCTCAGGGAACTAGAAGGGAATGAAATTGTCCTGATGCAACTCGAAAACTCGAAGTCCAGGAGTGTTTTCAATAACAATTCACAAACCACGCTCCACGGAATTCTTAGAGATGTTTTTATGATTTTTTTTTCCAACGACGGGTACGTCAACCCTGCAAAAATGACTCCAACTAGAATTCCGGACTCTCTGCAGATTCGAAATTAATTCGACATCAATTCGAAATTTCACAGTAAATAAATTCAAATGAATTTTCTCGCAGCTCTTGAATTTTAGTGTAGGATACTAGAAAAAAAGGAATGAGAAGCGATAAGACGCTGGAGTTGTGCTGAGTTATTATTTACATGATAAATCATGATAGAGCGCTAAAAAAATACAATTTTACGCTTATTTTCCATCAAGAAACTTCTATTAGAGATTTATGGCCACTGAAAACTGAAAAAAAAAACAGAATTTTCAAGTGGCGTCGGCGAAACGTACATGGAATTCCCAATAGAATTCCGCGGTAGGTGATTTTTTTTAGTAAAATACCTTCATACATACGTGTATGATCTGCCACGTTCAGAGATTCTCACTCATTGGCCCGGAATTCTATTGTTTGTACTGACAACGCACCCCGTGTACTATTCATCAGTTTCTATTTTCCCAGGAAAATGTAATCCCAGGGGTAGATTTGTTCTCCAAAACTGAATGAAAGCGCGTGCAATTCATTATTTATACTCAACTTCGTAACAGCCTCCGTTAATTCAAAACTCAAATCAAATTTTCTCTTCAAGATTCCACAATATTTTCTATTAAAAAACCGCAATTTCCCGGGATTTCTCTCCGAAAACTCTGAATTTTTGTGACGTCATTTATAAATCCCTCATTTTTCTGAAGTTATCATGGAAAATGAAAGGCTGGGATTATCCTCCCACCAGGACAACATTTTTGTATATTGAAATGGATTTAACAGGTGAATTTGTCGACGGAAAAATAAATTCAATAAATATTTAATACGACAGAATTCTTAGGAGTTGGTAGAATGATGTGATACTATTGTTTTTTTTTTGCAGAATACAATTGATTTCAATAGTCCAACGATTCAGGAGCAACTGCGAGAACTTGGAGCCCGAAAATGCCACAATGGATCTATTCCAAGTCCAGGTGAGATTGAGTGAAAAATGCCAAAAACTAAAAAACTATAAATTCGCCGTCACGAATGGAAGTGTAACACGCGATAAAATATAGGAAAGTAGACTGTCGCAAAATAGGTAGGGCATTTTATACAGAATCACAAGTGCTATCGCATTTCCTCGTGGAGTAGAGATTGCACTCGGGGGTTAATACATGAGCTCATCGAATTCTGTGATGCTCCTTGAATTTCCCGTGATCTCGTTTTCCAGGGGAAGCTTTGTCCCGATGACACAGACTCCTGGCTGTTGATGCGGTGGAATACTCACTAATAACCACCTAAATATCAGCCGTTGGAGATGCTTTGGCAAATTTGTGATAGGGTTATTGATAAACCTCTTAGTGGATATTCTCTATTGATGGAGAAAGCCTTAGATAAGCCCGCTGTACCGCATACCCATGACCGGAGGAGAATTATATTCTCCCCGGCACGTGGCTCTTGTGCAAAGAATGTTTATTCATTTTTCTGCTTGTCGATGAAAATTTCGGAGGAAAAAACTTGCGATCTTGTGTTAATAATTGACTCTAGGGACTAGATTCCTAATCATCTTATTGATCTAGAAAATCGGTGCAATAATTGGAACAATAGATCCTAAATAATAAATCATAAACTTATAATTCACCTTCAGTTATTTCCTCTCGGCTTCCACCTCTAGTAAATAATAAATTAGAAAACTCCTTTCGCTGACTCTTTTTTTTGCTCGCGGATTGCAGCGCTTTGATGTCATTTTTATCAGACTTTTTCCCTCCATGAACTGAAATTTGATGAACTATCGTAGCAGAACCAATACTAGCACGCAATAAAAGCGTCTTTGATAAAGTCCATCCTGAAATTCCAATGAATCATGCAAATTCACGCACAGAAAAGAACAAAGAACTAATCACTAAACCGAACGTAAAAAGTATCTATAATACCCATATGTCCGTATTTGAATCAATTTTTACCTCTGGATTTTACGCTTCTCTGTTGTACACTGAATAGAGCTTGACCCGAGTTATTGCCACTAGATTTTACCCAACAACTGTACTTCAACAACCAACTCTGCGACTATATAAATTCAATTCTATTGTACTCTGTATTAGCTCTGGACCCGCGTGTCGTATTTCCTCGAACAAATGCACCGGAAAATGCAACAAAAAATATCTGACCGACAAAAAAAATGAAATATCACTCAACTTCTGATGATCCGGGGACGATTGTCGCTCTCTGGAGAGAAATTAGTGCTTCAGTGCCATTAAATAAATGAACCGTACACTTTTTTAAAAAATTGATTAGGGGCATGGTCGTTGGCGGAATAATTTTAACATGTGACTTTAGAGCCGGAAAAACTGTTGAATATTAGCGGGCCGTGATGACAACGTGTGTAATGGAAATCCGGGGGCGGATTAATTTTACTCCATCGGCCAATTTTCGGCGATCCAATCAGTTTTGAAGCGTTCGTTTCGGTTTAATTGAATTTGTACGTCGCTATTTTTGGACGGTACCCGATTAAACCGATTTATCACCATCAGTTCATTTGAAACGACTGGTGGATATTTCAATTAGTATTTCGGGGGTATTCATCGGTTATTCGTGGTATTATGAATCAATAATATTGCAGTTTAATGATCGAATTTAATTAGACCGTTTTGAACTATACCTTTAAAAACACGTCGCAAAAAACTATTAACTATTGTTATTACATTGGCATTTTGGTGGGTCACTCTCAGCTTAATTTAAATGAGAAATTTATCGGGAAATAGATCCGATCGGAGTGAAATTTGATGGACGGATCTCATCAGTTTCCGGTTGGGGAGGTGCGATACCATGAGCCCCCGAAACAAATAAATAAATCGAATAAAGGTTCTAGATTTTATTCTCCCAAACAAAAATCTCCCAGACAAAATCCCCCGAAAGAAAATATCCCGGAGAAAATCCCCCAAAGATGAATATAAAAATAAATTAATAAAGTTCTACGTTCAATGACTCACTGACGTGTCCTCTCGCAGATCACTGGACCAATTCGTCAATACAAATATTAAATTCGTCCATGTAATAATAATTTTAAATTGAAATGTAATGATGAAAAAAAATTGGTTGACAGACGTATTACGCTCGGATAATTATTATACGTCTCAAAATTGAGGAAAAGAGAAATAATTCTCTTTTTTCTGAGATTTTCCTGGGAATTCTGTCGACGAGATTTTTTTAGGGGATTTTGTCCAGAATATTTTTTTCCCGGTAAACAACTCCGGACAAGGAAATAAAACCGCAGAATATCAAGGGATCGCAAATCAGCGGCCGATCAATGCCGGGCCATTTCTCCTTGAACCCCAGAGGGAATTTCACCTGATCGTCCTATGAAAATTCCTGATAAAATCAATTCTATCAATTCTGCACTCCAATTAAGCCCTAATCACCGGGGCTACATGAATCTCCAGCCGAAAAGTTCCAACAAAATTCTATCCACAACTGATAATGATGATAAAAAAATGAATTGATCGTTGGAAAGTTTTAACAGCTCCAATTAATACATCATGACCAGCTGAAAGTTCGTGACTCTAGATCCCGTTTTAAGTTTCATCCGGGGACTCAAGTCTCGTTGCACTGATACCATCAAGTTCAGGTACAATGAAAAATAGTCTCCTCCCTGACCCCACCATAATCACCTTGATCCTCGGTGTGAGAAATGAGGAGTGAGAAACGATGTGGAAAGGGCTTAAATTTCTGACAACCGAGAATGACTATATTGAGGGAGTTATTTTTCAAAGGTTGGTGTTCGGAGACGTGGGATGGAATTCTCTGCTGGCCAGCAACAGCCCCGGGGGATCTCGCTGTCCAATCCTGTCCGAGGTACATCGCAGGATTCGATTTACAGGTGATGTCAACATAAATCTCAAATGAATTCCGCATCGAAATTTACATATTTTCTATTCACTTGGCATTTCCCATTGTCCAATCTCATTAAGGATTCAAACTCATTACATGCACACAGCAAAAAATTAAACTACAACACTGTTGAAAATTTTCAGTATATTTCCATCACAAAGTTAACAGAATTTTATATTGAGTTTGAGATGAAAATTGAAATTGAATTCTTCGTTTCAAATTATCATTGAATTATTAAATTATTGAATAATTTTTCCATCCCATTTGGATCTGAAAATTGGAAATTGCCAGAATATTCAAAAAATTAACTGACTAGTCAATGAAAAATTCTCCCGAAATGAAAAATTCAAGTGTAATTTTCCAACCGTGTAAATTGCGATAAAAAATTCAATTCAATTTAATTTTCAAAGCCCAGAACTGCGAGAAAAGCCGGAAATTCCTATTTTAATCCCTCAGCTTGAATTATCGAGTTTGAAATGGTAATTTCCATTTTGAACTTTGTAATGCCGATTGGAAAAATGACTAATGACCTTCGCGGTTCGTTTTATTCGAAGGGATGAGGAGATGTTATTGTTTTTTTTTTGCAGGCGAATGCATCCCGTCAGTGTTTGCCCGACGGCCAGTGGTTCATGAAGTCAGAGACAAACAGCACGTGGAGCAACTACACCCAGTGCTATGCAACCCAGTATGTCACTGTGCTCATGGACATAACGGAAATACAGGAACGCAATGCTACTTTGATAAAGGTACGGTGCATTGAAGCTTAGAATCATATTAGGGTAATTGGCAGATGCTTCTCAATTACTTCCGCCTTGATGCACACTCCTGACGGTTGAATGGTGTGTATTCTGCCAACTGGATTTTGATCCTCCAGATTCAACCCACGCAGGAAAATTCAATAGGTCGTGAGGTCGTGATAAAAGATTATGACGATGGAGGAATTATTTATAGCGAGTGACTGTTCGTTTCGCACCTGTACAAATATGAGGGATTTTTAACAGCGAGAACACGAATAAATAGGACGAAATACATTTCGGTAGAATTCATGGATCAATTATTTTCTTCAATATTCGGCTAATTCTTTATGTTTAATCTACGAGAAATTCAATTGTATTTCATACTGAATTTTTAGAATGAGGATAAAATTCAAGCTTTCAATTAATTAATAATTATTTAACTTGAAAACCCAATTTTCTTGAATTTTCGTGAATAAATGAGAAATTTTTGCCATTGGTTTTAATTGAAAGTGAATTGAAACTGAAGTAATTAAAAATTCAGATACGAAACTCTGTGAAAAATTTCCACATTCGTTCCGTAAAATTTTCCTTCACCGCCTTTCACTGCAGAATTACAGAAAAGGTACGTAGTTTCTATTGAAAATTTATCTGTGTAGTGAAACGCAGAATTTTGTGTGAAATTCTGAATTCTGATTTTGTTACAGAACTGCTAATTTATCGCAGTTCGAAAAACATATGCGAATTCCAATACCTCGAATTTCAATGCACCAAATTTTGCAATAATTGAACACAGCGAACAACGGCTTTTCACATTGCCATGTTCCAATTTCTAGTCGTTATCTTTGACTACGACAGAATCAAATTCAATTGCCGAGGATAGAAATTCAATCCAAAAAGCAAAATTCAATAGCTGCTTCCGACTATCTGTTGCCGCATTTTTTTAATTGACGTAAATCTTTACTTTATCGAATGGCGGAGCTAATAACATTAAATTAAATTCCCTGAAGTTTTCCACTTTTGTCTTTCGTTCGCGAAAGAGAATATTCAATTTATAACGAAAATTCTTCAAATATTTGTTATTGGAATGTGGAAAATAATTCCCAAATCACTGCAAAGCGTTCCGTTATTGCTTGGGTTCAAATAGACGAGAATCCAATGAGAAATCGTTAATGTCTGCCAGTTAAAAAAAAGTATGAATTTTCGTAATTAGTCGTTATTTTTATAATGAATAAACTCGCTTTTTCGAGGTGATTTAACTCGCGATTTGAATGGGGTTGCATGATTGATCCTTCCACGCGAATCGGAAGATTCTTCCGCAGACCCTCAAAATACTGTCATCAAAACTAATTCACAGTAAATAAAAACATTTCCACCATTCTCCCCCACCGAAATATCCACTCATTCATCCACAATGTGCATTTGTCCCCGGGTGGTAGAAATGTATTCACCAGGAGTTTCCAATTTATCTTTCCCCTCCCACTCTTTACAATTTATTCTCCCATCCAATAATTCATTCTACGATTCAAAGTGCCCCACAATAAATTGGACAAATATCAGAAAAAATGAACGACAGTTCACTCAAAAATTACCTCAAAGAGAACGCAACAGAAAAAAACGTAATAATCATTCTCACCGTATTTTCCTGAACTATTTTTCCGTTCGTGCGGTAAACTCCAATTCCGCACTCGAAATACTCCCCCAGAAATACAGCAATTGGCAGTCTCTATTGAACTTGTCAACCCCACGTGACATCCGGAGAAGAAAACAGAAGATTGCTCGGGGGAATTAAATATTTGAGTGACACCTCTCTCACTGTTTCCTGGGAATTCACGCTTGACGGTACCGTATTGAGAATGGAGTAATTTTAATGAGAATTCAATCGCCGGATGAACCAAGTTCCCCGTTGAATTAAATGCGATCAAAATTCACTCACTCTACTGTAAATTACTCTTGGAATATCCACCCGCAAAGTGATAATTTCTCGGTAAAAAAAAAATTGTCCAGCAATGTCCTAGATCGACAAATGTAAAACCTGAAGTAATGCCTCTCTTCACGAATCCCCAGAAATACCTGCCGATCGTCACGAAGACATCGACAATCGGATACGCCGTGTCCTTCTCGACTCTTCTCTTCGCCTTCCTGATCCTCGCCACAATCAAGTAAGTGATCAATGAATCATAAGATAGATACGAGCAATAATGGCAAATTCATTTCCTAAAATTGATTCAGGAAATTGCGTTGCCCAAGGAATATGCTCCACCTCCATCTATTCGCCTCATTCATGACTCGTGCCTTCATGGCACTTCTCAAAGACGTTCTCCATGTCTCTGGTCTTCGTCTCGCATCAGATCTCATCACAAAAAATGGTGAGAGTTTCTGGCGAGAGGATGCGATAATGGAGCACATCGATAACAATTGGCAATGTAAATTATTCACCAGCCTGTGGCAGTATTTCATTCTCGCGAATTATTCATGGATTCTCATGGAAGGCCTTTATCTCCATAATCTCGTATTTTTCGCACTGTTTACGGACTCAAACTCGAGCATCATGGGTTACGTTCTGCTCGGATGGGGTGAGTATCGTACGGATGATGGATAAAAAAATTCTCCAACTTTTTTCTACAAACTAATGAGGCATGAGCATTCATGATTTCATGAATACAAAGGAGATAATTATGACAATGCAACTGTTACAGGATTACCAGCGATTTTTGTCATTCCCTGGGTGATCGTCCGGGCTCTCTACGACGACAATTACTGCTGGACAACGAATGTCGTACCAGAGCTCTTTCTCATTATTCGTATACCCACCACATTATCTATTCTCATCAATTTCGTACTTTTCATTAATATCGTGAGGGTTCTACTCTCGAAATTGAAATCAACGGTCTGCGAAGAGACTCAGAGATATAAGTCAGTGGAGTTAAAATTCTAGAGGATTTATATCAGATTTTTTTTTTCGTTTTTTTTTTTGGCAAATTGAATTGAGAGGTTTAATCCAATTTTCGGGCTTTCAGGAGATGGGCCAGGAGTACATTAGTGCTTGTTCCACTATTCGGCGTTCATTACACAGTTTTTCTGGTGCTCTGGTATAGCATGGGAACTGATCAAAGGGTGGAACTCATTTGGCTATTTGGGGATCAATTATTCGCCTCTTTCCAGGTTGGTGTAATCAACTAAAATTCCATTACTTTCTTTCCGGTAATTAAGGTGCAGAGGTAAAATGGCCTTTCGCAGTGGAGCCATCGATTTTATCTGCGTTTCCATTGTTGCACTCGTTTTCACCAAATTCAAACAACTATTTATTCATGGTCGATTATCGATGCATTTCGGGTCTATACAGGAAAATATCATGGTACATTTATTTTTGTTAATAGGATAATAAAGAATTGAACACTTGAAATATTTAATCGAGTAAATGACGGAATGAGAGTTGTGAATTGTAGCCGTCAGCATGCCGTAGATTCTGACATCTAGATAATAGTTGGGAACCCAGTTTATGATACAGTGGGAGGAACTCCACTGAATTCTCTTAATTCCAAGTATTTCGGCAGGAGATAATGGAATGCCGCAATTTTGATGGCTGCAAAGTTTTAAATGTGAGATATTTTACTCGAAATAACGAGAAAGTGATGGAATTTGCATTAGAAATCGTCAAGTTGTTGGACAATTGCCAGAGATCGTCATTTAGCTTTTTAATTATTTTTTTAACACGATACGTGAACCTTCGACTGGGGCTGTTTCATGAATAAAGATATGGACTCGTGTCCTATTATTCACCATAGCCCAGGGTTTTATAGCTTTTTAACGATTTTTTTCCCGACTCTCATTACAACGACAATAATTCGATGCAGTAAATAAAACAAAGTGGATGTTTCAACCACAGATTAATGGAGGGGAATAAATTTTTAATACATGCGCTCTGTCAGCGATTTTTCTGTTAACCCACAATTTACGTTCATTGATCGCATGATTGTATTATTTCGCTCTCTTCGATGGACACTGGTAATTAAAATAATCACTGGAGGCAATAGACTGTGTGGTTAAAGGGCTGACGCCAATTCACATGGTTTAATTGTCAACCCGAAGGGACCTGCAGTACCTGACCAGAGTTTTTCCTCAATTAAGGCTCCACCTCGGTCCTCAGTACTATACCCGGTACAGAGAAAACAAATTGTGAAAGCGGGGACAATTGAAGCAATCAGGGCTCGACAAAATTGCCAATTAACATTGCAGTAATATTTTTTAGTAACTCAATCCCTTGTTCTTAAAAGATTTTTTCGATTCTACTCAACTGATAATTTTCCGCTGGATCATTGTTATACGAGGAGAAATATTCAAGAAAAATTACCTGGAATTATAATTGTATAATCAATTAATTATTATAATTAATATTCAACAAATTTCATCATTTCGTAAATTTTCCGTGTTTTTGCTAGTAATTTTTAGTGGACTTTTGTTTTCGTGTCGAGAATTTGTCTTCATGTTCCCGAAGTTTTTCGCGTAGTCAGCAATTACGTCTTGATAGTGTAATTAATCTCGTAAGCTTGTTGACAATAGACCAATTGAAGCCCTTCATAAGGATTTAATGAATCCGATGATCGCAGCTGAAAATAATTCATTCGGGAATGAAAAATAAACTAATTACTTGCAGGGTTTCTTCGTGGCAGTTTTGTATTGTTTTTTGAACGGAGAAGTGAGGACTGAGCTTGCGAGAGTCCTGAGGAGCAAAAAGTGGCCGAGATTGCGAGGCAGATGGGGCCCTCGGCACTCAACTCGTTCAAATAGCGCGTGCAGCTGCAATGGAAAATCGGGAAAATCGAGAAAATCCTGGTGGAAAACACCCTGGCTCGGATTATTCCACCAGAGTACAATTCACCGATCAACCCACTCGATGGCGAGTACACAAGGTATTTTTTCCCATCACGGCATCAACACTAGAAATGATTTTTTTCTTTCTTTCAATTCAGAAGTGAAAACCAAAGAATTAGATACCAGCTTATTCTTCAATTTCCTGAATATCCACGACTGTAAAAACAGAATTAAGTATTAATAGCTGCGACGAATGGAATTAATCTTTCTGATCATCTGAAATATTTAATACCCCATGATTTTATCTATTTTTAGAAAATTACATTCGTGAATAATTCAGTATGATCTCTTGTGGTCTCCTGATAGTTAACGAGATTTTATAGTCATTTTCAACGACTTGAAGTCGAAGACACTAGAAATTTAAAGGGACTCCTATCGGAAATTTGAACCGGAAATTTTTAACAGTGTACTTGACATTTTTCATCGTCACTAACTGCTATCCATTTTCATATGCATATACTTTTTATGAGTATCATAAAATTATGTCTTTCGGTTATGCCATGAGCTTTTTCTCTCTAATTTGGAGGTGAAATTTTGCCATTTTTTTTATGGAGAAAATGTAATTTGCTTGCAGACGTTGCGACAAGAGGTGGTAGTTTAGCGAGCAGCCGGGGATATCTTGATAGTGTCGGTGTTGGACCGGGAATTCTAGATTCCCATGAACATCCAACTACTCACACCTCACCTTTGTGCAGCAAATACACGGATCACTCGGTCCTCTCATTCTGCTCTCATGTATGTGGACAAACATTTTGTATTACGATTCCCCTCTCATCACATTCCCGGATTTTCACAATTCTCCAGTGGGCGCAGAAATTCTTGAAAACTCGACCGATACCAATGGAATTCCCGCGAATTTCACATTTTTTTTGCCAAATATTTATCGTTACCGGGAGAACAATACGTTGACAATTGGAATAATTATTGTTCCCACAATTCCGTAATTTGCAGAATAATTCCAGTACTCCATGGATGTCTTATTATACAAATTTGTTGGACTTTGTAAAAACGGTCTAGGGGATTTTCGAATGGATTGAGTGGGACGTAACGAGAATTCAGTTTATACGTCGACTCATATTCCCAATTTCCTGAGAATCGATCTCGTGAGAAAAATGAGGTTCTTGAATGTTTGAACGCAATTTATTCGTGATTTAAGGTGGTCCCGTCGCCATGGCAATATGAAGTATTCCATGTTCACCGATATGAACGAGAGATCAATCTTAAAAAATTTTCGCTGCCAACAGAATTTCCAAATTACAATTTATTTTCAAAACGAATTCGATCTTGAGTTGAAATTCAAAATAATGGATAAATGATTCTAGATGTCCGACGTGTCTACCTATCCAATCCGAATGATGGAGAAGACAGAGAAACCTCCTGAGCACCGTTGCAGTGCAGACTTTGAGTGCTGCAGTTTGGCATTCGAATTGCATAATTATCCGCACGAGATTCCTTGATTAACCGACCCGAGGAGAGCACGTACCATCATTGTTCAAAATACGAGGCACAAAGCCCCAGAAGGTTGCATCTCGGCGTTGTGATCCATCGAGGAGGAAAATATTCCAACCGACAAACCTCAGACATAACTTTTTTTTATATATATATTCCAAAGGATTCGCTGGCGAATCTGAATAATCAGGCATAAACAGAGCTTCGTACCAGGAGTGCTCACCATTTTTACTCCCAATGCCTCGCATCTATGTCCAAAGTAATGTTGTATTATTAATTAGTAATGGTAATTGAAAATTGTCCAGTTTCACCGCTGGCACCGGTCGATTATTCAACAGTCATTCCAAAGATTTTTCTAATATTCGATGGGAAGTAAGTGTTACCTCAGATTTGACGTGTACCTAATAACTGTCTTAATTAATTATTGATTACAATGGCGATTTTACAGATGCTCTCTAATATAATTGTCAGGAATTTTTCATGATAGACGATACGAATTGTCATATGTTCAACGAAATTCATATTTTACAATAAACACACAATTTTGATGTAATTATTCTTGTTAATTACCATTAATCAACCCACTCAATCAATCATCTATGAAATAATGTGATAAATTATTCGGGAATCCGGTCGCAATTCGACAGTTTCAACTTTATCGAGACCAGAATTGTTCGTTCATGTTTATTAATTAATTAGTGATTTATTATTTTCATATATATGACGCTAGTTGTTCTTTGGAATATGTACACCAGGATTACCATATTATCTAGTAACAAGTCAATTGCGACATCTAAACCTCGGATTTCAATGCAGGTCCTTCGGCATGACGCAAATCTTCTGGCTCATTTCCGGTGGACAAACAATTAACCTTAATCGGTTTACTTCACCCGGACGAAACAGCTGTTGTCAGCCGGTAGAAATTCTGATAACGGCATTCTGTTGTGTAACTGTATATTGGAAAAGTTTATAGGCTTTCATGCAAAGTTTTGAATCGTAAATTTTGAATTCGTGCCGGAAATTATGAATGATCATTCTAGGGAACGCGAGATGTATTGCGTGTAGAATATACAGGGTATTCCCCTAAATATCAGGATACAATAGTCCAATGGAAATTATTCTATTTTGATTGAAAATGGATTTTGCTTCTGAATGGAAGCATTCCAATCGTTCTATTTTTTGATTTTCTAATTTTGCCTGGAAATGACGTAGAATGGTTTGAAAGGTAAAAATACCAAGTCTGAGGGCCATGTGTGTATGTACAGATGATCAATTGAGGGTCAATTTTTGCAAAAGAAAAACGAGTAAATTAATTTCTAAAAATCTGAAATTTTGTCAGTTCATAGGTCCTGATATGGACTTGATATGTGCCAGATTTCAGCCCAATCGGTTGACTAGTTTTTGAAATACCGGTGATTGTTTCTGAAAAATTTCCCGTTTGCATTTTTTATTCTTTTGAAATATTCGAGATATTCCAATTTTCATGTTTTTTGAAAAAATGTACAACGTTGTACGTAAACATTGTATGTAAACGTTGTTCGTGCTCTCTGATTTTAAAAAATAAATCTATCAACTTGATAGATATTCAACTTTTTATCTGAAACTATTTTCTCAAATATTTTAAAAACGCCCCAACTGATTTAATTTTTCGTTCTTTCGAAATATTCGTTGCATTGTGCCCTATTTAGATGAACCATAGAGATGTACGCGTTCGAAGAAAAATATGAACAAATTTCCATTTTCATATTTTTCGGAAAAATGCGTTGCACGCCTTCTCTGATTTTCAAAAATCAATCTATCAACTTTTTTCATTCTGTGAACGGCGTGGGAAAAACTCTGTCGAAAAATTCAGCCGCCGGTACCGGAAGATGTGCAAAGTTCCCTCGAGAAAAATTCCGGTACCGACATTTATGTATCTATATATATATATATATATATCCATATATATTGTTTCTCGAATTGTGTTCGCAACAACTCGCAACATTCCAAACCAGAAATCGAAAGTCATTACGGAGAGTTTCGTAAATATGTCGCCTGTCAGTGGAAACTCGAAAGAAAAATGTGATTTCAATTTTTTATAGTGATCTCTGAGCTGAAATGCCAACTGGAGTGGAAAACTGACATGAAAAAGCTTCGCCATCAGTCTGTTGGTCTTTTTCGTGCGCTTTGCTGCGGATGAAATTGATGTCATGTACAGATTTTTCCCCGAGGAAATTTGATTCACTGCACGTAATAGACCCGCCCCCATTTCGAAATTAGGGGACATGTGTTATCAATTTTGGCAAAATACTCGAGAGTGATCCGTGCATTTTCCGTTGAAAATCGAGCAATGTTATTCTGGTTATACAACGATGAATAATCACTACACATGTGCGGATAACACAGGGGCTAGCACGTTTTCATCTATAACTGAAGGGCTCTTCACAAATATGATTTTCATACGGAGATCATGAGCTCAAGTTCCTCATACTTCACACTCTACTTAAAAACTGGAGCACTCATCCATGCGCACTTCTACTTTTTATTTTTCCAACCCTCAACCGAGACTTCCGACGTACCACGTGAATAAATGAGAAGATCCAGCAATATTTTTCCCCGTTTAACTTGGGCTTTTTTATTCAATAAAATTATTTTATTTATTTCGTCATGCAGAAATAAATGATCAAATTGTCAATTTCATCCAATCTTGAACTTGAAAATATTAAAAGACGATCAAAGCCTGTGAATCGCGCCTTTCATTTCTGATGCAACGAAAAAGCAATCGGAATGCGTAATTACGCGTCTATTTGACAGCCATTCAACGCGAGTGGTAGAAGCCAATTGCTTCCGCCGTTTAGCATCTGCAATTCAGTACCACCCTTACGAACACTCTCGACAATTCATTCCGAGTATTCATTGAACCGCAATAATCCACGAGTATCTAAATCGATTCAATTCGCAATTGTCAATATATTCATGGTATACATTAACAAAACTACCTTTATTCCTCTTCACGAATAATTACTTGACTTATACATTTTGTATGGGATTTCTTATCTTACAGGAAAGACTTATCGCCAAAGCATAAGAAAAAGTTACAAACATTAAATAATTTGACTTCTCCTGCGAATCACATTAGTTAATTAAAGTACGTAATTAAGCGACTGTTTGTGCGCCTTTCAGGGACCACGAGGGAAACCAGTTGCTTTCACCCTTTAATTTCTGTAATTTAATGCTGTGCAGAAGAACACTGTCAACAATTTGTTCAGGAGTGTTCGTCTGGCCGTAGTAATCTACGAACATGCCATCTGGATCAATCAAGTACGTGATAATTGTGTGATCAACCTGGAACACAGACAATTCCCCCAATTGCTTCGTGAATTACTAATGGAAGCCCAATAAAGAATTTTATAAAATGAAGAGACGTATTTACGATATAATCTTCGTCTTGGTCTTTGGGCCCATTGCTGAAATAAACTCTGTAGGCTTTACAAGCCGCTCCCACTTGTTCCATATTACCGGTGAGTCCAAGGATTTTCTCTGAAAATTCTTTGCAATACTTTCCCACGATCGCTGGAGTATCTCTGCTAGGATCCACTGAGATGAATATCGGTTGAACTTTGAAGTTATTCTGCTCTAAATAATTCAGCCAAAATCAATGATGATAATAATGATTATTTATCATAAAAAACATTCTGTTAATTAATTGTGGTATACCTAACTTATCAACTGTCAGAACCATTTTCTCGATCTCATCAGGGCAAATATCGGGACAATGTGTGAACCCAAAATAAATTAACACCCACTGTCCTAAGAAGTCTTCAGATTTAACAGGCTGTCCCTTGGGATCGACTAGATCGAATCGCCCACCAATCTTAGCCTTTCCAATAGTCCTCCTTCGTTCCTTCTCCAGCAGCATGTCCTTCTGTGCCTTCAGGTACCATAAATACCCGAGAAATCCACAACCAATGGCTCCACCGATGAAGAAGCTGGTCCAAGTAATTGGACTTTTTCTCAGCTTCCAAGCCTTGAGCTTTGGGAGATTGGTTACCTTGGGGGCATCTTTAACATCCTGCCTGAGTACGCTGGATATAGTGTACTGTCTCGTCTAATGTAACGTGAAATTGACAGATCAACTCAATTGCTCAAATCCAAATTTTCTTGACATTGCAAGCAATTAGATAATTATCTCTTGAATTTATTTCTTTTCCGGTTTTGGAGCAGAATAATTGTTTTGCACTAAAACAGTTACCTGACTTAGACATAATCTCTCTGGTACCTGAAGTCTGGATAAATTCCTTAGCATCAATGTTGTCATTGTCATTTTCAATTATTTAACAATTACCGCACTTACTCGATGATAGGTTAGGAATGATGCAATCACGTGTAAATCATCGAGAATTGTCACTGAAAATCCTCTGATGATGAAGAGAATTGAACTGATGACAGTAACTAGTTAATTCATAAAACTGTCGTTCGATAATTGTTGATGAGAATTGATTCTATCACCCGGTGCAAATCACTCTCGCCTGTAGATTTATCCTGTTTGGAAGATCCTCCAAAATCATCGAAAAACAGATGGATAACTATTGTAGTACGCATGTGCAAATGGGCATTTAATGCTCCGATGGTAAGAGTTTCCCCTTTTATCGACGAATATGTCAAAATGATTGACTTCGCTAGTTCTGGAGTGCCTGAAAGTGTTGGAGGAGATTCTTCTCCAGTTTTTGAGATTTATCTTTATATTTCTCATTGACAATGAACAGATTCGAGTACAGGGAGTCCAGGATGATGCCCAACGAGGGCTACATCAGAAGGGATCATCCTGTCAGACTTTATGATGGCGACACGAAGGTATTTTCGTTCTCATGTCATTGTCTTTTTGATAATCATTTCCTAACAATTTGTGTATGTATGAAAATGTCTTTGCAGACGAATTTCGTGGGAGGAGAAATTGTATTGACGAGTCACCGACTCATCTGGGGACGTCCCCAGGATGTCGCCCAGGGCCAGATCTGTTTATCCCTGTCCTTGAGACACGTAGTGTTCTTTGAAGAGGACAGTGCAGGGGTTTTCTCATTCAGCAGAAGTAAAAAAGTTGTTCTACACTTGGCAGAACCGCTCCCAGGTGAGTAAAAATGTTCAAAAGTATTCTGACTCCTCCCAGAGTCTGTGAAGAATATTCAGAATCCTTAGGAATAATTTTTCGGATTGTGTTTTAGATAAATTACCAGGTCCAGTAGATAACAGCTTCCACATGTATATAAAATTGTCCTTCAAAGAGGGCCTTAATCCTGGGTTTCTGTCAGACTTTGCTGATGCCATCATGAGAAAGAGTTGGGAGGTAATGCCCATAATGCCAACGATAGCCATGTCCGAATTGAGTGTCCAGGGGCAATCAGAAGGTGCCACTCAACTTCGAACGATAAAGACACGAACTGGAATTATAGGAATCGAGCGGAGCCTTCAGGAACGCCAGAAAGCCACTGACAACAGCATTTCCATGGCGTTCCAGGATCTGAGGAAACTCATGGAGATGGCCAAGGACATGGTGACGATATCGAAAACGATTTCGGCTAAGATAAGGGTAAATATCGATTTGAAAATGCACTTTTGTTTAAAGACTCATTATTTTTTGGGAAATCGCAGGAACGACAGGGGGATATTACTGAGGATGAGACTGTGAGGTTCAAATCTTATTTGATGAGCATGGGAATCGATGATCCTGTTACGAGGGATGCTTACAAAACGAGTAATGAGTATTTCAGACAGCTGGCTGTGCAATTGTCCCAGATATTGGAGGAACCATTGAAGGCAATCATTTATTATTTCCATGTCGAAGTCGATGCTGATATATATATATTGACATTAAATTCCATTTTTTTTTGTATTTCACTGAATCTGCAGGAAGTTGGAGGGATGATGACATTAACTGACGTTTATTGCCGAGTGAATAGAGCCAGAGGTTTGGAGCTCTTATCACCTGAAGATTTGCTCAATGCCTGCAGACAACTCGCTCCACTTGACCTTCCAGTGGTGCTCAGAGCATTTGATAGTGGAGTTATGGTGATACAAGCTCGATCTCACGATGACAATGCTGTTGTTGAATCTCTTGCTGAATTAGTCAGTATTTCATGCTAATTCTTAATTTATTAGCACTCATACGTTTTGATATCATTAAAAATATTTATTTCTTCAGTTGAGAGACAAGGGATCAATCACTGCTGAAGAATTAGCTCAATCAGCAGGCATCTCTATTGTTCTGGCTCGAGAAAGACTCCTGGTAACGGAAAAATATGGTAGAGCTTGCAGAGACGATACAATCGAAGCCCTAAGGTTCTACCCAAATTTATTCCTCGAAGAAGTGTCTTAAGTTTTCATTTCCCTCCGAAAAATAATGTCTATATTTTTCTGATTGCTTGCAAGTGGCTAATCATTGTTGGATAATTCCATTCTGCCCGTTCTGAGATCAAAAATACCTCTGAAATCGTGTAACATGCTGAATAAACAAATTTATTTTACAAATAATTTCTCGATGGATATATTTCTAATTAAAATCAATCGTATTTGAAAATTTCATTGAAAATATATTTATCTAATTTGGCTGATTGATTTTAGGCGGAAACATCAAAATTATTTTTTTATGAAGATTTAATTAATCAGTTTAATACAGAAATTAAAAAACTCAATGGGTAAAACAGGTCTAATGTTATTGGAAATCGCATTTTCCCTCGATGTTGCTTCGGTCGTCAGCGAATTCCTGAGTGACATCATTCTTCTGTATTCGTTTTATAAATTCGTTGTAGCGTCATCGAAAGTAATGGAAAATTCCCAAGAATTTTTGTGAATTTCACCATTCGTGAATGGCAATTGCTGAGGGGCATTTGTGCGTCATACCTGAGGCTTCGAACCAAAATTCTAAAACACTCTAGGATTAAATCGACGGAATTTTCGAGGTCAGTAGTATCACCTTGGCATTTATCCCGACATTTATTATCTTTTTTAAAAATCTCGTTGTATTTCTCGAGAATTTTTATAGCTTTTCAAGTATAGGTTATGTTCGTTATGCATTTTCAGGAGTATCCACGGCATTGAATGGTGATTTTATAGCGTGAGAGAGTGTTGGACACATTGTGATAGTTTTTTTTTTATATTTGTCGATGGGATTTATTGATGATGAGCTCAAAGAAATTTCAAAACTCTGTGAAAATGTCGTTGAACGTAGCAAACTTGTCTGCTGTGTGCCAACTCAAGTCAGAGTGGAAATAACGTGAGTAAAACTAGAAAAATTCTATTATCTGTATTTTTTAATGCAATTTTATTCTTCACAGGAAAACGTCGTTCAAGAAAATAGTAACCTGTATACAGTTTCCGAAAGATTACCCTTCAGACGTGCTGCTCATCGAATTGAAAAGTAAAACTCTGTCGCCAAAGTTGTTATTGGGTCTGACTGAAGTTTGCGAGAAAGAGTGTAAGAATCGTTTGGGGAAGGCACAGGTAAATAATATCTTGAATAGAATCCTCTTATAGATGCCTCGTTCTCCTCAATTTCGTTGTTCGCGTATCTTTCGGCTGAGCTACTCTATTGCTTTTGGATTCCAAAATGTAAACAATCCACCATTTCCTTCGTTGAGGAATTAAATTCCAGGAGAAATACAGCCGAAAACGAAAAAATATATCGAAAAAATGATTGCTACTGTCAAAATAATTATTTTTTCTAGGTTCTACCAACTTTGAAGTTCATAAACAATTTTATCAACGAGAATCCCCTGATCTGTTGCTACGATGAAATCAATACCGTAAAGGAGCTCCTGAAGGAGTCAGACAGTCTCAAACTGCGACAGAAGTCATCAACAATAAATCTCGAGGTGCACCAGGGACTTTATTACTATAAAGCGAAGCTTTTTGTTCCAGACGATTACCCGGTGTCGTCCGTGAGGTTAATATCTTGACAAAAAAAATTAAAAAACTCCGAGGAAATAAATTTAATTGATTAAAATTACAGCATCAATTCAGACGCAGAAACGAATTTTCCTCCTCTGTTCGCACGTTTCCTCTGTGGTCAGGGAAGGGAACTAGGACGCAGATGTGTAGAGCCTCCACTGAGGAAAAAACCAAACCAATTATTCACACCATCTCCTTCCCTCAAGACCGTTGCGTCATTCTTGATAACGTGGGTATCACTCAATTCTTTTTTCATTGATCACTAAATTGTGATCGTAAAATACTGGAGGTCAAGGTATAACGCACAATTTCCATCGCAGAACTGTAAAACAAATTCCAAAGGAGCACTGTCAGCTATGCAAGTTAGAATGTCTCCCTCCAAATCCAGAAGATGCTGTAGTGGACGAAAATGCAGATACCCACGTGGAGAAACTCTACTGTGGTCATCTGTTCCATTTGAAGTGTTTCAGAACATACATGAAAACTCCTCCATTCCATGGTAATCACAAAAATTCCATTCATTTCATAAATCATTTATGAAGAAAGATTGTAATTTTCCATGAATTATTGAATTTTATGCCTCCAAAAGCTGCAAACTTAATTTGTTTTTACTCAATTCTTAATGTCAGGGGGTAAAAAATGCCCAGGCTGTGGACAACGTGTCTTCCACGATAAATGGGGGTTGACTGATAAACTCGCTGAAGACAGATGGGCACATGCACAAGCTCGTGCTAGAGAACTAGCTGAAGTCGTTGATTTCTTCGACTGATACACCAGAGAGCAAGTGCATTACTAAATTCCCCTGGAATGCACGACTTTCGTTGCAACTCATTGGCAGTGAAGTGAAATAAAGATTATCTATTTTTTATTCCACCGAGAATGAATAGCAGTGGACGGGGAGAGGAATAAACATTTGGGAGAGCTGGGGAAAAGCCTTTGAAATTTATACTGATGGCTCCAGTTGAGTATCTCACTAATATGTGGCATCGTAAAAATAATATATCGTCGGTGTATTGATCCTCACTACCGACTCCGGTGGATCCTCTTCTCTCATTCCCCTCACTATCCCCTCGGCTTCACGGCCTCATTTATCCTTGCACCTTTTCACTCGTTTTTTTTCATTTCTCTACTATTTTTTCTCTTATTTTCTCTTCCCTATTTGCGTTTTTTTTTTATTGGGGAGAACTACGGAAATATTCTTCTAGACTCAACAATTATTGTGTACATTTGATGTGGCATTTTTTTTTTCATAGTTTTTTCTTATGGGTCATGGATTATTATTTACGTGGTAAATATCGTGCCCATAAATAAGGTGCGCCGTTATTCTCTGTAAACTTGGCTTCAAATCCATTTAATATTCACTTATCCTATCCTTTTTACTTTTAAAATAGATTAAAAAATGGAGAAAGTGGTGTTGGATGGAATAAATTATGGAGGTGACATGTGGCGACTATTTTTTGTAATAAAAGTGAATAAATAAAGTAGTTATCGGGGTTTGGTATTGACTCAGTCTGTCCTGAATTTTTCAAATTAAATGCGATGGAAGGAATTATGATGGGTTTGTGGATAGCATTTTTGCAATGAAAGTCAATAAAATCTTATTGCAAAATTAAAGATGATGAATGAAGATTTTTTGTCAATGAATCGCATCACCAGTGAATGCCCATGCAATCCTCTACTTGTATCAATTGACGTTTACATTAAGTGATAAGAATAAGTAATAGCGAAGATATAGCTCTGCGTTAAAGAGACGTGATGGTTTTTTAACTGTCTAACGGTCATTCATCTTCAGACATTCAGTGAAAACATCACGAAGCGAATGCCCTTTCAAGCGATTGAATGTTTGGATTCATTCAATGTCTAGGACATACCTCACTCACCAGAGTTAAATCAAGGAAATCATTCTTCTCAGTATTCAATAATATTACTAATTTCAATTCAATTACTGATTTTATTAATAAAAGAAAAGCCCTGAAAAGAATGCCCTGAAAAATAAAAAAGACCACTTGGAGCCTAAAATTACAGACTTTCGCGATAAATATAGAATACTCGTCGAGTTTGACCCTTCCGATTAGATTTAGCCATTACTCCAGAATTCTGTCCTCAACTCAATTCAAAATAACAATGTAGGGATTGCGCTTGATTAACGGTTGGATACCTAAAAATATTCAACATTGAAAATAATAGTCACTAATTCCATCGAGCTCTACTTTTATAACCACCAACGATAGCCATCCCGTTACCCGACCAAGTGACTCCAAAAATTTTCTCATTTAAATTCACCATGTGGGTAATTCTACATTCGCACATTTTAAAATGAACAACTCCCCAATTTCTCCAGCAGTATTGCTGCCATTGAAATTTTACCTCCTGCCATTTACTATTTAATAAAACCACTTCTCTCGTATACGCACGAGCCGAGAGAAAAAAAGTCGTAAACTTCACGAGGAAAAATGCTCGGTCGTTCATTAGACTGATTTACGATCGTGAAATGGTCTTTTTTTCGCAGTGATGGGCTCCACACAGGGAAGGGAAATGCGTGAATCAAACCCACAGACAATCACCCCTTCCAACACCTTTCTGCATCGACAGGACGAAAGGTTCATTGATCCTCCCAGGGTGAGTATCGATTCAACTTCAATTGGTGGATGTCATCGGACAGATGATAATGACGAAGGAAAATATATTGAATCGATTGAACGGGTGAATGGAGTGGCGATAATGACACATTCGTAATAGCATTTGCAAAAGGTAAACAGTTGGTTTCAGTCATCAGTAGAATTCAACGTATGCATGAATAGACAAGGGCATTAACGTGAGACAGCTTGGCAGACTAATTCCTGGGTATCGATTGTACGCGTTTGGAGCTATAGACAGCCACAAGGGAACAGTGGTATGTTCACTCAATGCGGTTTAGCTTCAAGCCCAATACTCTCCTCCTCCACCCAATTCTCCATATCCTTTCAGAGATACGCCAGATTGTTTCGAGGCATCAGTTATTACCCCAGTGGCAATTATTCACTGTTGTGTATGCAGGTCGATTATTTCCATTAGGAAGGATCATTCATTTTGCATTTGACAATGGATTATTGATGAACTTTTTTCGAGGATTCATCGGTTTATCGTGGAATCCAATGTAATAAATGGACTTTTCAGGAGATATTTATCGATTTTATTCGGTGATTTATCGCCTTTTAGGTGCAATTCGCATGGATTTTTCTATTCGGAAAGATTCGAGTCTTTGGAAACGGATGTTCGGTTGTTGCTTTTCTGTTTTTATCCTAAAGTGGAATTTAGTGGAGTTCACATGAATTTATTTGGAATCGATCATTAGTTGATAAAGAATAATCGATTTTGAAAAAAGTCACCAAAAATCGGCAACAGATCCTATCCCTGGGGCTGGGGAGAAAAAAAAAATCATTTTCTTTTCTCACAAACTGAAACTTATTCCCTAGATATCGTCAAATAGTTACAAAAAACAATTTCATACCCGAATTAAATTACTGATAAATTAATTCGAGACTCGGAAGATTGACGGTTTCACTGAAATGCAATAGACAGATATGTGTGGGTGTATGTTAACCCCTGGAACAATGCGCCCGAATGGTCATGAAAATGTCAGTGCATTCGCAGTATTAATTGTCAGATGAAAATTCCTCAGACTGACAATAATTCACATTTGCCAGTGGGAGAGAATTAATCCGAAATTGTTACTCCAACGAACTACCAGACCTCCCAATCTAATAATTCAATTAGCGGAGGACCCATTGACAATCAGAACGCTTCAATAAGCGCAAATGAGGGGATACAAAATTTTTATAGCCTTTCACGAATTATTTATCAAGCGTGACAAGTGATATTGATGAAAGTTAACCCCCGGAGATAAACGACCGGCATTAGGGTGGAGAATTGTTATAACAAATGGTCGTTGCACTGTTTGCACGTCGGTTTGTCGTCTCGTGACAATTATCCCCCCGACTAGAATGGAAAAGGGCACAATTGAGGTTTTTCTCCCCCCCGATTTGTACACCTGGGACCCAATGAGACGTCTACCTCATCCCGGACAATCCCAACTCCGGATTTTCACACTTTTCTTTATCCTCAGAGATTTAAAAGCTGTTTAAAAGATATTTCTTTCGAATTAACTTTAATTGTGAGAGAAATTCAAAAGACGGGATTATTCAAAGTTAATACTTCTGCCATTTGTGGATTTATTGAAAAATTCTTCATTGTGATTCGTAACCATAAATAGGCAAAATCAACAATTAATATTACCATTAGAAAACTAATACGACCAACAGTAAACAGTAAATGAAGCAATTAATCTAATTCAATATGTACAATTTTCGTAACCAAAAGCGCAATCAATTGGCTAATTGCTATTACTCAACAATCAAAATATACAACCATTTATCCATTTATAAAAACTTATAAAAACAATAAAATTTCTCTCAAAAATGTTGAACGAAAAAAAATTACGTAACCAGTCACGAAATGCAGAAAGGATTGGAAAAAAAAGTACAAGAGTAGCAGTAGCAGAAGGGACTCGGAGGAAGTGATAAATAACTCGCACGACTAGAAAGAGAGGGGGCACGTAACTAACGTAATTCACTCACTGAAAGTTTCAGTGCCCCCCTCCCTCCCCCTCCGACACGTGCTTCCAAGACCTCATTAGACCCTCCGCCCGTCCGACTGTGTCAGAAAGGGTTGTCTGTCTACTTGTGACTTACCAAAGGCGAATTAAAGAAAAAAAAACGTTTCCCAAAGGAATGAGCAGGAAGAAAGAGGAGGGCAAAATCACTGGTGCATGGATTGGGCACGAGCCACTGGGCAGACACTGTCTAAATCTCAGTCTGTCAACCCATCCCGATGGGACAACGAATATCTGATACACCTATAATTACACGTTGGGCCCGAAGCGCGTCATGTAACGCGTGGTGGATCAATAGCTGGAAAATGGCTGGAAGCCAAGTCCGACGATGTCGTTTCGAGTTTTGCCGTTGTCACTGAATCGGGCAGCTAACCCCTTTCAACCACTGGTGGGAGGGTTGTCCCACTTGTTCGAGAAGCACGACCACGACGCCGAAGGCCGCAGCTTTGCACACGTTTCGTCTTGTGCCAAGGGCGATGGAATTCTACCATTTACTCCACTCCAGGGTACACCATCCCTTCGTCCTCCAGGGGAATCCCTTTGGCATGCATTATTTTACTTTTTTGAGGCATCACGATTTTCCGGATTGTAGAGTTCATTTCAAATTCTGAATGAATGCCTCAAGGAATTCTTCATTCAAAAAAATTCCTCATTCTTGGAACCCTCCAGAGTAATTGAATAAAAAGTAAAAAAAAAACAACGTTATTTTTTATTTAAATAAACCATCCATAGAATTTCAAATAAAAACTCAGAACGCATAAGTTACCAAAAGAAAATGGAAAAAACGAAATTCAGTGCTCGTAAAAGCGGAATTCAGATTAATGCATGCAATTATCCTAAAGCGAAATCAGCGGATTCAATGCGTGCCGGTAGGAAACCACTGATAATACCCTCCCCCATTTTCAATAGCTGATAATCGTCCGCCCCCATGAATAATTCACGAATTTGAAACTACGAGGCAGATCATATGTGAATATTCATCCGCAGTCGAGTGTATATAAAGCAGAATGAGCAAAATATCATCGATCTCCATATCTCGATGAACCAGAAGTTTATCAATGAACACAACTTCCCTCCATTGTGTTAATTACATTCTGTTTAGACTCAAATCGTCGATCGTATTTATAATCAATCTTTCCCCTCATTGCCGTAATCGATGGGAAATCACGCGTAACAGCAAGTGCCCGTGTGATTCACCCCGGAACAGGAGCTATTGTCTGCACATCCCCCGGAAACAAAAAGAGCGAAAATATTTTTTTCCTGTGATAAGGAAGAAGAATGAAGCAGTGGCCTTCATCTAGATGTCTGCCCACGTACTTTTTCCATTGTCTTGTTTCCAGAAGAAGAGAAATAGCGTTCGTCCATGATATTTTTAGACGACCCCGTGTGGCCTTTCGACCATCAGCTCTCCTATCACCTATCCAGGAACCCTGATAGTGGTTAGCCTCTTAGTGATTGATACATCTCCATCGATCGGTTGACCATTGCATCAGGATACGACAATAGGTGACGTGGAAGAGGATTATATTTTTATCCAGGATGAAGAAGTGTCTGCATTACAACAAGACGAAGAAAAATAATACGTAGTAAAGTTTGTCGTTGTACAAGCCTCGAGGAGTCTCCAGCAAAAGTTGAACTATTGAAGGAATCGACTAAAAGTTCTGGAGAACTGGAGTGAGGAACATGGAGATCCTAGGGCATGTGTCCGGAGTTAAAAAGAGGCCGGAGCTCCTCCTCGTTTTTTTCTTCTAAATATTTTTTCTCCGATTTATTCAAGTGTTTTCTTTTCTTTCCCTTCTTCTGGGACTCTATGGACTTCTGGGAATAATTTCTTCTTAGATACCGCAGTCTTCATTGCGGTAGTCCATGTAGAATTCGGTCAACGGATAAAATAGTACTGTTGTCGGATGCCTTCGTGGTCAAGGGCTCGGGTATAATACATAGCAAATGATCCGTGCAAGGCAGCTGAACATTTTTCACGTGCTATCGTCATTCGTTTTCGTCACTTCAGGTCAATGGCTACAGCAATGGATGGAAATCATTTTTAATTCAATAGATTATGAATTTATTTTATGACAATTTTATTTATTCACTGAATTTATTATTTAGGGACGTACTCATACTTTCTCATTGAATAAATCATCATATAATGTATCTCACTCGTTTTATTTTATTAAATTATTTCATTTTTATTTGTTTACTGGAGTTATTATTTAGATAATGCTATTTTTAATATAATAATCGCTTCTTCAGAGGTGATGAATGCCTTTTGTCCCCATAACCGCCACAACCAGTGATTCACTGGTTTTCGTATTCACCCGAACTCCCCTAGTGCAATTGTCATTCGCCTCACGTAATACAATTGCAGAAGGGCAATAAGGTAATGACACAAGGGCCTCAGCATCATCAATGAATTTGCCAATCACCTCGTGACCGGCAATCCATCACAACTCCCCAGAATTATCATATCAACGTCACGATTCATTATCGCATTAACGCATTATCCACATGTTCCATAAAAATTGGCTTAATCCCCCGATAATCTCACCGAAAGAAAAAAAGTGCTGACTCCAGTGAATTTGATTCGCACCGGGTGACTCGGACTGTGTCAACTCGATTTTCCGGTCTGATTCGAGTGAAGATCGGATTATTCCAGTGCGAAACGTGTGTCATATCGATATCGACTTGATCCTGAAACTTTGGGACAATTCAAATTGCTCAGACGTTTTTTTCTTTTGGTTCAATTAAATCGATTGATTATTGAATCGAATCGTCATCTATTATTCTCCATTCGCATAGCCATCGGGGGCATTGAAACGAGCAGTCCGGAAGGGCCCACGGGGGCCCCCGCCACAACAAGTTGCAACCACCTGGCAGTGACCACCCAGTCACCTCCAGATGCTTCCATCCCCCTCGTGTCCACTATCCGCACCACCTTTAACAAACGGTAATACAAAAAAAAAAATTCCTTTCAACTAGAGTGCGAAGGAGTCACAATGTTACACTTGGATGACTCCCTCAACCTACAAAATAAGTTCTGTCCGATACCCAAAACCCATCCGCACGCAGACGACAAAGAAAATTTGGAAAACAACCACTCGGTTTCTCCTCCTCTCGACTCTCTCCCTTTCTGCGGTCACACAAAAGTTTTACACTTGAATCTTAAGTCATATATCAAGTAGTCCGTGGTATGATTCAAGTATTCAATCAAGCCCCCAAATTTAAGAGTCATTATAAACGCGTCGATAAACGCTTTTTTGCTTGATTGCTCTATCTAAATAAAATTGAGTACCACCTGAATCAAGTTCCATAAGTACTCGATTCAAGTCGAAGAGAACAACTTCAAACGATTAGACTCTCCCCAACTCAACCCCCTTCAACCCCCGACTGAAATCATGAATTAAAAAAAAAATCTTTTGACTCAATGAAGAACTCGAGTCACAACAGTCCTCACTTCGCCCACCTCCTCGAATCCGAATTACCCCGTGCTCCCAAGCCCCCCGCCTCAAGTCCCAAAAAAGCCCCCAAAGACCGATCGACAAGACCCCGAACCATAAGACAAAAACCGGGTAACCCCCCAGCAGGTCGCCCAAGAGCTTCAGACACGGGGCATCGATTTCGCACACAGGACGATGGCTTCACGGTGGAGGGGGTAGTATTGGGGGCGGGTGGGTGGTGAGAGGGGTGTATGTGCACACATAGCCACACATACAGCGAGCGTCGGCCGTTTGCTGGCGCTGCTGCCGCACCATTGCCCCCTCCCCCCCTCCCCCCCTCAGCCGCTATATTTGCCCGGCCCTCCCCTCCCCCGGTAGCGAGCAACCCCGCGGAAAAATAAGAGGGGAGTGTTGGAGAGAGATAAAAATTGAGTATTAAACTGTCTTGTTCTTGTTCATTGAGTGGAGGTAAATGGCATCTCTGTCTGTAGTTTGGGGCAGTGACGGGACGCGCGTGCGGGGCAATGCGAGCCCTCGACTACTATCGGGTTGGCCCGCTGTCGCTGTCGGCCGGCGCCCGTGTGTTGTACGCGTTAACCGCGGGTGCTGCCTGGCGTACCCTCGGCGCTCAGTAGTTCAGAGCGCCGTGGCAGTCTTCAACGAGCTACCCGCCGTGCCATTAGCCAATGCCGTATTGTGTCACACTGAGTTCGGTACACCGGTAAAACACTGTCGGTACCAATAATCACCGATAAACTCATAAGAAAACTTGTAAATTTCATCATCACTCTGATAAACGAGGTCTATGATACTTGTGAATTTATTCACACGAGTTATTTCCTTGTTTTTTCATTTTTCTTTCATTATTAAATCGTACAACCCTATCTGCGAGTGCAGTGCCACCGGCGACTCGTTACTACAACGCGGAAGTTCGTACTATTTTTCGTACGGTTGTTTCTGTTAGTTTTTTCTCCCCCTCCCCTCTTAATTAGAGGTTTTTTTACACTCGGATTTATATGCTACCGAGTATTGCTGATAATCCGGTACTGAGGACTGGGGCTTGCAGGTTCACGTGGTTTTGATGTTTCAGTCGTCTGGTGAATTGTCGGGTGAACGGACCTTTTGGTGGTAATTCCATTGCCACGGTGGATTGAGGGGTGGTTGAGGGGGTTTGGGGGTGGATTTTGTAACCCTTTGGACCGCGTGGGGCAGGTGTGTGGAAGGGGTTATTGGGGTATTTGGGGAGAAACTGGACCGGAGAACAGGTGATTCTGGGTGATGATTCGAACGCTGAAAGCAGAGTTTAGTGAAGAATTGCCGTAATAATAGAGACTCCATAGATTTGTTAATATTGAATGAGGGAATAGTACGTGGAAGAGGGGCGATTGGTTTACCAGAGGGCTTTTTTTTTGTGGTTGGTGGCCCCGTTAGAGGGTTTCACTCGGTGGTGGCATCTCACCCCACAGTATAACGAGCCTCCTTGAATCGCACGTCAATCACACACCGGCAATCCCCTCCGAGATAAAAACGGCTCGATATTAAATAAGATAAAGATATAAAATCATTAGTGCAGTGACAAATAGCAATAGTGATTAATCGATAAAGTGAGGGTAATCGGGAATCGGTTAAATCGTCGATAAATAACGAAGACACCGGTGTCAGTGGTTACCGGTGTGGTGTGGTGATTGTGTTGAGTTATTGGTGGTGGTGATGCCTCGAAGATCATTTGATCAGTCATTAGGCAAGGAAGAAGGTGGCGTATACCGGAAACGCTGACGAGACCAGTACCGGCTGGGACCGGTCCAGGCCATGATCGGCCCTTCAATCCAAAGGGCACGCACCCATCAGCGTCTGAAAATAATCACCGATACAAATCACCATATATCAACGATATCACATCACAATCACAATGAAATAGAGCACGACTCGACCCACCAAAAATTACGCCTAGATGAGGATCGAGTGGTGGAGATTAAATCCTCGTGTCGTACTGTTGCGAATGAGGAGAGCCAGTGGAAAGGGACTGGGGTGTATCAGGCCAGTGGTGGGTGCTGCCAAAAAAATCAACCATCTGAGAGAAGACGTGATAGATGTAGGAGTCATCTATTTCTATTGTTTGCAACCGCCGCTGTATTTAATGCACTTGCCCTCTCACCAGGTAATTCATTATATTTTCTATTTTCCCAAACCACGAGGTGTGAGAAAATTTCTCTCGTCTCTCTCGTTTGTCCCGTTTGTCTCGTTTGTCTCTTGATACATTGCTGGGGGGATGAGAAGGGTGGAGAGGGGGGCCGGGGCTTTGGGGGGCTTTTTCAGGCAATTTTTAACTGCAACGAGCGATCCACCAGACGTGAGACAGTTGATGCTTGTCGCTAACGGAATAGTCGTGAATATCGTTCGCAGACACTTTCGAGCCGCGCCCACGTACTCAATGCTATTATTTATCCCCATGTCTGCGCTATGCCCGCCTGCCAAGTGTATTTTTCGCGGGCTATAACACACGACTTCTTCACTGAAAATGTGAACGCACGTCTCATGTCCTCGGGTGTAGACGTTACACCAGACGTCGAGGAACTATTATTTCCCCGAAGGAGTCTGCCGGATGAGACTTTATGGGAGATACCACTGCGTGCACTGGTTATACGCATTTTTTCCACCAATTTTTATCTTTCAATAAATAATAATGATAATGATTTTATTTATCGCTTGATTGCGCTGATCGTGTTGATCGTTCCCACTGCATTTCTAATGTCACATGAGTCACGTTCCACCGTTTTTTCGTCTTTTTGGGACTGAGGGGAAGAATCGCTGATAAATCTTCCATGTTTTAATGGTGCAATAGCGGAGATGATGAGCTTGATTGACAAATTGATGATTTTTTACTGGCTCAATGGTTTTCGGGTGGTCCTGCCTACCGCACCAATCGATTGAATTCATCGGGTCAATTGATCTGGCGATTTTATTCCCGGAATTCAATATCCAATGATCTCACGATAGTCTGACCTCGGCAGCAGTGATGAGATGAGGGGATTAATCGTTTTCGAATTGATAATTGCCGGTGTAAATTGATTTTTTGGGGATTTCTTGTGGATCGGTGTGAGGGAGGAAATGGCAATGGATCGCTGTCCCTCGACAACATTAATGTGTTTACAATTATTTATACCCACGGTCTAGGGAGAGGGAATTATAAATGTCGTGAGTATTTTTTAGCACACTCTTTTCGTATAACGTGGGACCGCCCAAGGCGTTTGTTGTATATCACTGAATCCACTTCGATTCGAGAGGAGCCGCCGCCACAAGCACCTTAAATTTAGACATTTTATACAAACTTCTCACAAGTTGTATTCTTTCTGTAGTTTTCAGGGATGGCTTGGATTCAGCTCGGATTCATCACGTGTGACGATTTTTCATCGTCATTCGGAGATTGCGCGACGTTTCCCATGGAATTTTAAGTTTTACCCCACCGCAAATAAATTTTCATAGACGTTATCATGATTTTCGCAAATACTATTGGTTTCAGGAGGAAATAGCAGAAAATATTTTCTGTAGAAAATACTATCAGCTACAAAAAAGATATTTGGGGTTTTTATATTTAATTGGTAGTTCTTGAGATAGATCTATTATTACAAAGGTCAAATTTGATTTATTATAGTTTATTAGTTTGATGTTTAGTTTATTTTTATTTGTAGACTTTGGATGCAGAACACTAGAATTTTTAGAAATAATTTCTCTCGGTGGCATGAAATGTCGGACTTGTTCTTCATGCGAATCACTTATTTACTAATATATGATTTTACATTTATTCACCGGAAATGCTTTGATTACCTGAAATTTGTTACTACATCTATGAAACTTTAATCAAGACTTAATAAGTCCTTGAAATTAATCCTCAATTAGAGGATTGAGAGAATTTTTATTCACGGCAAATGAAATTTTGGGTGGGTATTTGTGTGAAAATTTCATAACAAAATTTTCCCTGTCAGCACCGGAATTTCTATAAATCAATTCTTCATACTGTATAAATAATCGTATTTGCTCGACGTAATTGAAAGAGTATTAGACATTCATCTTCAATGAATAATTCATTTGCATTGCATAACTCACGTGAAAGAGCGTAAATTCTGTTTTTCACCTGTAGCGTAAAAATCTCATTCCAACTGAATGAGATTAATTTCCATTCCCAAGACTTTTGCCATTCCCGTAATGATCTTAATGTCTGAAAAAATAATCGCTATAATTTTCAATGAATTTTCCATTTTCTGAACTTCGATTTTCGATGCGATCTCCTCTGAAAATATTCCCCCGAACTTGTTAATTAAATCTACTTTATTTTCGTATTCAGACAAAATTCTGAGAAAGTCCTCTTTCAAGTCTAAATCGAAAAAAAAGGCAACGAGATTTTCTTATTTGAATACAAAAGAAGTATTTGATCTTTCGGTTCACTACACTCTGGAATGCGTCTGTGAGAGTAGAAAAATCGGGGATTCTTAGGGATAAAAAGTCCCTATCCCTCGTGGCGCCTCTCGATCGAGTTAAAACCCCTTTATACTTGCGATGAAAAGAAAGTCTCGAAATACCCGCTGAGGCGATTTAAAAGAGGCGAAAGAAAATTTCCAAAGAAAAATAGGACGCCACTGAAATTGAGGGGACGGTGCAAGATTTCAAGGTGCGTCGACCCAAATATTTCGTTGTTGATTCAAGAAAAAAAATCTCTCAGATGACCTTGTCACGGACCTGAAATGAAAAATCATCGATTCACCCGTGAATGCACCATTTTCCAACTCCTGTTTTTCCAGCCGACCTCTCTTCATCTTCATCCCGCAAAATAAATATTCATCTTCGTCCTTTTTTTCTTCAATATTTCTGGTTCGGGGTAATTGACGCATACACTTAACAAAGTTTAAAAAATTCATTCAATTATTGAATTTATGATGACGTCAACGAGGACAAAAGTCTTGTAATGGTTCTCGGCAAATCAGTAGCTTACAGTTCTTCAATTATTCCCGCATAATTTGACGATATTATTTATGTCTGTGGGGATATAAAAAAATCGCATGTGGATCGGCAATAAAATATTTAGTGAAGGATTTCGATTTCGGAATTGATATTTTTTGTGAAGTAGTCTTTCGAAAAAAAAGGATTCATTTATAAAAACAATTACAATTTTACATTCCGGCAAAAAAAAATTAATATGATATATTTCCCAATGACAAGATCTCTTGAAATTTTAGTTATGAGTTTCAATTGAGCTTGATACAAATTTCTGGGATTTAGCCCTGAAATTTATTCGTCAATTGGAATCTTTTTCTAATAAAAAAGAAATTATTAGAATCGAGTTCCCATAATTGAAATAAAAATAAAGTAAAAATTCCTGGGATGAGGAGTTTTTGTCATAAAGATTCGAGATAAAATTGCCATTATAGAAGTTATTCTTGAATCAAATATTGTCATGAACTTTTTTTTTACTTTAGCATCAATAATCGTTTTACCTTACGTAGAATTGTTTAATAGCGCATCTGCATTGACGTCTAAATTTCTTGTTCAATAAAAATCACCTAATACGATTTGATAAATTCGCAGATACACGTGATAAAAAAATCTTGGCCTCAAAATAGTCGTAATATCTTCGCAATAGTCGACGTCAGCATGCAGGTACTTATTTCGTAACTGCATCGTAAAAATTGTCGTAGTAACCGGAAGGTACAGCTATCAGTCCACATTTTTATCGTCTTTTGATTGTTTTTATTCAACTGCGTACATATCAGGGAACTAACCCAAGAAATTATAGGCGAAATCTTCATTTTCGCAGAGCCATTCACAAAGTTATCCACTGAAGCTGAAAATTCGCTGACATCAGCTCACCAATTCCCAAAAAAGTCTCTAAACTCTCCCCCAATAAACTGACTAACCACTAAAAAAATTATCTATCACCGAAAAATTTGGGAGTTCGAAAAAATATATTACATTATATACCAATAACACGCGTACATATTCCCGCGAAAATGCAATAACAGTTAAAATAAATGATTATCATTATAATATTTTTCATCACTACATATTATTTTATTATTACTCTCGTAAAATAATTATTTTTTCCGTGAGGTATGAGAAATATGAGTTTTAAGTTCTCGAAACGTTGAATTTAAAAGATAGAAAAGATGAATAATGACAGTAACATGAGATGGAAAATAAAAGATGCTAATTGGTGAGGAAGTAGACGACAGGGATCTGGGGATACGTGCTTAGGTGGTATAGAACAAAGATGTAAAGTGAGGAGTGGGTGGAAAATACAAGTGGAGAATGAAGGCGCAAGTGAGGGTACTGAGAGGGAAGGTACAAACAGTACACAGCAAATGGGTATGACAGCTGGCTGTCACGGCTAGTGCCTCGACCATGTGCGCCCACCAGTCATCGTACCTTATATCTATACTAATTCGAGGCTGCATTTCCCCCATGTCACCCTCATTTGCCATCACATTGCGTATAACTCCTCTCCTTTCTCCTTCCCTCCTTTCTCCTTGTTTTTTATCTCTGGCTTTCATTAGGGTTTCCCTTGCATCGCAGATTGTCTTGAGAATTAACCGTCAGTGATCAGAAAGCCACAAAGTCAACTAATAAAACCCAGAAAATCAATATTCTTCCTTAATATCGATTAATCCATAACGGCCCACCGGAAAACCCTCCGATAATCACCAATTTCTCCTGATCAATGGCACCGTAATAATCCATTATTTCTGAAATTGTCGTTAATTAGTGGACGGTAAAAATTTAGCGATAGGCTATCCTAACGTCGGTACTATACCGTGGAAAGTCCGGCGATGTAGGTTGAACCATTTGTCAGTGACTGCTGCCTTCCAACACAGATATATCCACCAGAATAAAGTAAGAGAATCGATTTGCGATATCAACCCCTTTTTCACCCCCTGAGATAGCATCTCAATCCCGTAATTGCGAGCTCTCTAATGTTGCGATCTGCAGAGTAATCCTCTAATGCGAGGTGCCTCGGTTCACAGCCATTTTCAATATAAAATAGTGAAGAGAAGTTAAATAGTGGAAATAACTATCGCTATAAAAGAAAGTGTTTTGGCGTACGGAATAATCTTTTTACAGTGCGAGAGGGTATATGTGGCTTATAGACACGCCATGTTAATAGTAACA